AATCCACTCTCAAACACTCTCAACCTTTAAGTTTTGAAATTCTTCAAATCCAATAATCTTTCGACCAGTATCACTTTTAGCACAACTATTATCAACATGGATGAAAACGGCTTCGATTTTGAGGTGAAGATACACGTTTTTTGTTCATTTCCAACAGTTTTAGTCATTTCATGTTATTTCACACGAAATACAGTCTTTCATTTGGTGTAATACTACACGAAACATGTCTTAATATCATTTTGTTGTTTGTTTCGTAGGTTTTGGTACAAAATTTTACCTTTAATTACGTTTTATGATAATTTCGTAATAAAACCTACGGAATTAAAGCTAGTACTTCGTATGATTTTACACAAAATTGCAACTTCAATTTCGTGTAGTTTCATACGAAATCCCTTAGATATTGTCTTTTAATTTCAAATATTTATGCAGGAACTAAGAGAACAATCTCACGATCACAGTCACTTCTTTGAACGTGGTATTGTGTTTGATAGTAGAGAAGCGTTAATTATGTGGGCAAAAGACACAGCAATTAGTTATAATCATCAACTGATTAATCATTGTAAAACAGAAAATATCATATTTTAACGTGTGCAAGATATCAATTTGGAGGACACGTACTATTGAAGAAAAGTTCTTGTCCGTTCAGGTTAATTGGCACAAAATCAACGGATGATGGATTATGGCGATTGAGTGTGAGTAATGGTAATCATAACCATCTGCCGTATTTGAAAGTTTAACTTATGTTTAATTTGTATTTTTTTTTTAATTTTGCATTTTAATGTTTAATTTATGTTTTGGAATATTTAAATTTGTAGTGTTGTGTTTTGCATTTTTATGTTTAACCTATATTTTTGGAATGAATAAATTTGTAAGGTTATTTGTAAGATTGTTTTGGAATGTTTAAATGTGTACTTTAATTGCTACATTTGTACGTAGTTTCTAAATTCAAATAAAAAAAACTAGTAAATTAAAATACAAAACAAACTAGTAAATTAAATAGTTCGTAATAATAATAAACAAAATTAGTAAACTAATTAGTTTCTAATAATAATAAAAACAAATTATTAAATTAAATAGTTCCTAACAATAATAAAAATATCAAACAAATTGCATAGTTCGTAATAATAATAAAAATAACTTTTAAATTAAATAGTTCATAAAAATACATAACTGGCAAAAAAAATATATAAACTACCGTCTCGCTCTCCTCGGCAGCTGCACCTCATGATCATCGTCATCGTCGTCCTGGTTGATGCCAATATATCGGGCGGCGGGCTGCATAATATCTCAAAGGTCGGTACGTAAATCGGCAAACAGTTGCATCCAGTCATGTCCAGTGCTCATGGTGATCGGGTATAATGCACGTACTATCTGATAATAAGCCGGCTGATCTGGTGGCCGCACATTCTCTCGATGCAGCTGAGCCGGACCTACATCGGGGTTGGTGATCTTTATATGAGTCCAATCGATCGGTGTACCAATCCATGTAGTGCTCGTCGACTCCTCCCCGTTGTCGTGCCGTCTTGTATATGTTGGTACGAATGGAATGAGCCCGGACCATGTCCCACATACCACCCGAAAATGGGTAGTTGACTTTGTACGTTGCACCTCCTTTCGGACCGCGTAAACATGGCTCCATCAATGGAATCAAGCCGTGGGGAATATCATGAACCCACCCGAACTGTCGGACGCAACGATCAGGCATATACGGATCGTGCCATGATACAACGTACAAGGAATACTCTCGTGTATATCCCGACCATACGGTATCCACTCAGCCTAAACATAAAGAAATATAAATACATAAATAAAAAAATTCATATTTAAAAAAACTATAAATACATAAATCAAAAAATTCATATTTAAAAAAAATATAAACACATAACTCGAAAAATTTCATATTTAAAAAATTTATAAATACATAAATCGAAAAATTTCATATTTAAAAAAACTATAAATACATAAAATAAAAAAAATCATATTTAAATAAAATATAAACACATAACTCGAAAAATTCATATGTAAAAAAAATAAAAATACATAAATCGAAAAATTTCATATTTAAAAAAACCATAAATACATAAATCGAAAAGTTCATATTTAAAAAAACTATAATTACATAAATCGAAAAATTTCATATTTAAAAAAAATATAAAAACATAAATATAAAAAAACTTACATCATCCGTTGTCATATTGTCGAGTAAATCTCGAATCTGCTTGACCGTACTCGCTTTTGGCGGTGCGTCCCACATCTAGCATTGAGGCTGCAACTCGCGGTACCGCTCACTCTCCTCCGGCTGCTGAAATCTTCAGAAATACTCGTATATCCAGCACTGCAATATCTAGTGAGATAAACAATAGAGAATATATTAATTTAAAAACATTATGAAAAAAATAAGTACACAAAATATATTAAAATCTACCCGAAGAATGGTGGTGCAACCTGCCAAGCTCCTCGACTGTGCTCGACTGCATTGTTGGGTATCGGACACGTGTATGCAGCGGAAAACAAAATTTTTATGTGAAATTAACAAGTTTAAATCACATAATCACATGCCCGACAATAATTAAACAATTAATTGCGTACCTTTGTGCTTCCAGCGAAATTAAAAATGACAATCAAGCAAATTAATTTAATCGACAGTAAATCAATTAGCATGCTTGCAGTAAGTCATTTAACGTGCTAGTAGTAAATCATGAATTTCATGTAAACATACAAAATATACAAATTCACGAAACGTACTACGAAAATGAACATGGATAATTTAATCTAATTAAATTAAAACCTAATGAATATCGAATTCGAGAATTACCTCTTGAAGCGTGAGGTTGGCGCACGAAACGAAGCAAGATTGCCACGGAAACCAATCCGTGTAATCCGGGAGCGGCGATGGCGAAGCAGCGGCGGCGGCAGTGCAAGCTACGGTAGCGCGTGAGGATCACGCGCTGTCTTCGGACGGCGCGTGGGAGTGCGTGCGTCGTCGGCTCGGGGCTTGCTCCTCGGTTCTTCGAATCTTCGATCTTCCTCCTCTCGGATTTCACCTCGTATACTTCGATCTACTAAAAACGTGGCACTAGACACGCAATAGTTAGAATAGACGGAAGAAAAGAAAAGAGGTAAAAAACTACCACAACAATCGGCCAAGGGAGGCAGATTCCGGGGATGCAACGGCGGCGACGGCGGCGGCCGTGAGTGAGCTTGGCCGAGAGAGAGAGAGAGAGAGAGAGAGAGAGAGAGAGAGAGAGAGAGAGAGAGAGAGAGAGAGAGAGAGAGAGAGAGAGAGAGAGAGAGAGAGAGAGAGAGAGGTGAGCAGCTAGGGTTTGTAATGTCTTGTGTTTTTTTTTTGTTCAAGACCTATAAATCAAGTATTTATGGTGTCTTGTATAAAAGCCCTAACAGGCTTAAGTTGGACCGGGCCCAACAGCTTAAGTTCGTTAGTTCTTTACTCGCTCGTTTCTCTCAATTCAATGATCGGAAAATTGTAATGATTACATTTTTGGAATCATTGTAATGTCCTCGTCATTACGAGTGCCAATGCTCGATTTCCAACTTTCTAAAAGTGGAAACTCTAATTCAGTGCACTTTCTAAATTTGGAAACTTCCCGATTTAGAAAGTCCACTAAGATGTTCGCCTATTCTTTTCCTTTCTTATTCTCATTCATAATTCCAAATTATGAATGTTGGACTCAATCATATTGATTTACAATCATGCAAAGATAAAACATTTTTATCTCTGACCGTTTATTCAAAGATCTCTTGTGCATGAGCAGTGTGACCCTCGATGGTTCAGGTGTAAGCTAGCCGTGGGTCCACAATCCTATGTGGTCAAAACTCGTCCCTTAGAGTTACGATTGAGATGAAGCTCGTTTCATCTTAATCACCCAACGAATCAAGATTGGCGTCTAGCAACTACGCGTCATGATCCCCTAGATACAAATGAAGTGCCTGCAAGAACCTTTTGATATAGTTAACGTACAGTACGATCTCTTCGATTCATATCCCGATTGAACTAGAGGCATTGGTTCATCTAGACCTCCTTAGTAGTTCAATGACTGTGCGATCGTTCTAAGTATTGTAAATCGAATTCTCTAATCATCACTTAGTCAGCTCTGTGGCGAGAGACTTAGAGATTACAAACTATGAGAACACACAGGACATCCAAGACTATTTTAGCGATCCAATCCCCGACTACAATGCACATACCTCCCACTAGATTTCGGACTACACGTACACTGGCCCTTGGGGCGGTCCTCGGTGGAACTCAGGGACAAGTCACGATACAGCCGGTTAGTGAAGTCACGGTAATGTCTAGGTCATAAGGACTAATGGTGTACAACTATACCATAGATATCTCTACTCGACTATTGAGAACCACTTAGAGATTTCTAGGGTGAGGGAGTTCAGTGAACTCGTCAACTTACGAGCACCCACTTATGCATGCCGATATCACAATACCGTTTACTGATGAGATGCAGTACATATACACTAAGTGCTAGTCTCTTAATGGGAAAGGCCGATATCCTCATTGGTGGCGTAACCCTTCGACTAGGAACACGTTTAACAGTTATAATACTAAAGTAAATATCTCACGATCCTAAAGATCAATTAATAGTACTTGTAATAACTGTAAGGACTATATCTATATTTGAGACAAATGGACAAAAATATAGAATGCCAATGTGTTTTATCATAAATACGAAAAAAAGTTTATTTATTACAAGAATAAATGGAAACACCACAGCCACATGTTGGCTTGTTGGTCACCTACTCTTACATGCATATGCCCAGCTCCCTGTATAGATTGGCCAGGCCGAACCCCACGAATACGTTCCGACCTGATCAAGTACGGAATCCTCGAGCACGTGCATATACCACGGCTTCACCCGATCACATGTCTTGTCGGGGAATAAAATCGATCCGAGAAGAAACACCAGATATATCTGAACTCGGCGTCTCATAGGCGTGTCGGGCATCAACAACTGTCCATGTATCATCCTTCATGTGGGACCCCCATGCTTCCATGACTCGTCAATCTCCTCAAAATCAAGGTTCATAATCTCGGACAGTAAATACACACAATTTGTCCGCTTGAAGCTCTCGTCGTACCTAGGCGCGACCACCCGTCCCTCCACATTGGCACCTAGTATCATCTGGATATTGTGGAGAGTGATAGTCATCTCTCCCCACGACATATGAAAGTTTTTTGTCTCTGACTGCCACCGGTCTACGAATGCAAACAACAGCAGACCATCTATGCGCGGTAGGAAACATGAGGCTAGAGGATACAAACCGGTCATCCAAAAATAATGCTTGTCTGCAGTGACATCTATGTCTAACTGAGCCAGGGCATCTCCAATCTTCTCATAATTGAAATAGGCCAGGGAGTTGATACGGGACTCCACTCGTCCAACCGGACGTTCCTGTAATCATTTATTTAGAAAACATATTAGTTAGTCAACTATTAAAATATTTTAATATAAGATACAAAATTTATAATATTAAAATTAAAACTAGTAATTAACTTACTTCTACCCCTCCAAATATATGCCGTTACGTGCGATTTGAAACTCGGAATCAAAGACGGATCCCGCGGGCCACTGGAAAATGGACCATCTAGCACATACGGATTAACACGACTATGACTTCGACCACCACGAGCTCCACGACCCCGTGCTCGGCCTCTACGACCTCCACGAGCTACAACCTCAGTCTCGTGAACGGGGTCCATCGCATCCTTCTGCTCCTCCATAGCATGGGAAGGCTCGACATCGGGATGTGCAACCGATGATTTGGCTTTACCAGCTCTCTCAGCCTCTTGCCTACGTTGTGTAGACATAGTCATGCGCTCGCGCTCTTGATGCTCGGCCTCATTACGAACTGCTCGCATAATTGCCTTTTATTTGCCTTTGCCTGCCATTTGTTAAATAAGACACTAAACACGTCAGTCTAAACAATAATAAATAAAACAAATTTAAAAAAAAAAACTGAAATTAATGCTTCTATTTCGTGGAAAATGATACGAAATTTATGCTTACATTTCGTGATTTTTTTCACGAAATAGAAGCATTAATTTCGTATCTTTTTCCACGAAATAAGTGCAAAATGTCAGAAACACACAGTTTTCATGCATAGTACCCACGAAAGAAAAGCTTACATTTCGTAAGTTTTCTCACGAAATGTAAGCGTTAGTTTCGTGAGTTTTCGCATGAAACGTAAAAGAAATATAAGATTGTCATAATTTCCTGAAAAAAATCACGAAATTAGCTCTTTAATTTCGTAATTTTTTTCACGAAACGCATATTTATTTTCGAAAAGCTTCGAACTACTGAAAACGTACAGATTTTCGAAGAAATTTGTTAATATACTACTATAAAACGTTGGATTAACGAAATGGAGTTCGAGTTTTACCTTAAATCGTTGTCGAATTGCTCGTTTAATCCGCGGGAATTCGAAGAGTGTTGGAGAGGCTTTGAGAGGATTTTAAATTTTTTGAAGAAAAGTTACAAATGAATCTAAAGTGCACTGCAAGCGGAAAAAGTTGCACTATAAATAACATTTCAGTTAAAAAATTGGAAGATATCACTCCCACCCAACAATAGTTAAGGCGTTTAAATCTTTGTTGAGAGAAGGGTCCCTCTCCAATTAATTCCAGTCCCATCAAATCATTACTAACCCAGTTATCCATATTAATCTCATATTAATCAAGAAAAACTGTTTTTTTTTTCAAGAGTCCCATATTTCAGATTTTATATAGGAAAAAAGAAAAGAACGAAGTCATTATGTAACATGTGTAAACGTTTAACCCATGACCACCATTGAAGATAAATCAAATTAGAGAAAAAGAACAAAGAGAAAGAAAAAAAGAAGAAGAGGTGTTTGAAATATTAAACAGTCGTCTGTTAATGTACTAATGGAGAGGGTGGGGGTGGGGGGTCCATGTGCTGGTCACGTGGTGCTGCTCCTCACAATGAAGATATTATATATATTTATCTATATATATCTACTTTGGAGAACAAAATCATCACCGCTGTTTAATTATGCTTTTTTTATCTGATTTGATTCTATAATTTATTACTCCCCTTTTGAACTTGAGAAAGAAAAAAGAGAGGTAAAAGTGATGATATTGTTACAACTTTTAAGCTTTTGATTGGATTAATGTAGAAAAATAGAAAAAGGGTTTGTATTATTTTATTCATTTAGGACAACCCAATTGCCCAAAGGGCACTTTCTCCTTTACCACACTGTCTTAATATTATATTTAGTAGTGCGTGTTTCTTGAAATATAGTTTTTTTTCTTTTTTCCTTTTTTCCTGGGTTTCTCTTTCACCAAGTGTTGGTTTTATTACATTCTTCTCATTCTTCGAGCTTTGGTTGGAATTTTGTCTTCTTGGTTTTTGTCAGGTAAAAAACGTTTCTTTTAATAATAATAATAATAATAATACTAATACTAGTCTATATCTATATGTGTATGTATAGGTGTGGTTTGTAGAGAGTGAAGGAGGGTGGGTAATGGCATGGTCCCTTATAATTCTTCTGCCTTTATTCTCGTGGGGGCTCAATTTCGTGTGACTGATTTTGTTATACTGTCGTTAAATCATGTGATTTTGGCCCCCTTTCTATTCACACACTTTCTACATTCTCTTGTTTGTAATAAAATCTTGTGTTTTTTTTTTTTTGAATTTTCTTTTTTTACCATTCTTTTATCTGAATTAGGCTAGAGTTTGTGGGGGGGTAATTTGGTTATATTATTTGTTTGGTTCTTGCTTATTTTAGGGGCAAACAGTGAGTGTGTAAGGAGGCTTCTGGGCTTTTCATAAGATAGAATTCTTGTAGGTTCTTTCTTTCTCTCTCTATCCTTTTCTTCTCTCTCCTCTTTTTTTTTTAGTTTTTTTTTTCTTGAATATAGAAACAAATGGCAGAAAAGTGAAATGCTGTAAGGGCTTGGTGTTGCCACATGGGTTTATGTTTGGTGCTTGTTATTTGTTTTTGGGTTTGAAAAAGATTGGATTTTTATGAGTAATTTGGCTTACATCATTTTTTCCTCTGAGCTAATAAAGCTGTAATTTATGGTATATTGCTTCAGTGAGAAAGAATCTGCACCTACTATGGATCTTGGCTGTGGAAACTGCTGGAGAGATTCAAAGGTTCGATCTTTTTTCCTCCGATTTCGAAAATCGATTAGAAATTAACGAAATTCATTCTCGGTTATTTTTCGATTTTTTATTTTTTTTGCAGAGAAAAGATTCTTGGAAAACAACTATGCTGTTAGCATACCAGAGCCTCGGTGTAGTGTACGGCGACCTCAGCATTTCGCCTCTCTATGTGTACAAGAGCACGTTCGCCGAAGACATTCATCACTCCGAAACAAACGAGGAAATCTTCGGTGTTCTTTCCTTCGTTTTTTGGACACTAACTCTAGTCCCACTCTTCAAATACGTTTTCGTAGTCCTTCGAGCCGATGACAACGGAGAGGGTAAATAATAACCGACTTTTATAACTAATCAATTAATTAATTAATTAATAATGTGTCTCGTGTGATTAAATAATAACCAAATTAGTCGCGTAAGTAATTATAAAAGTCGATTGTTTTTGCAGGTGGTACTTTTGCTCTGTATTCGTTAATATGCAGGCATGCGAAAGTTAGCCTTCTCCCAAATCGACAAGTTGCAGATGAAGCTCTTTCCACTTATAAAATGGAGCAGCCGCCACACACGAAGAATAGCTCGAGGCTTAAATCGGTGCTCGAAAATCACAAATCGTTGCACACTGCGTTATTGATTTTGGTTTTGTTGGGCACTTGTATGGTTATTGGAGATGGTCTACTCACTCCGGCAATATCAGGTGAAAATTATTATTTTTTATATAGTTTTTATTATATTTTTTTTCTTTGGATTTTATAATAATAATAATAATAATAATTATTATTATTATCGAAGTTTGGTGTTAGTAATAAATAATATGCTAAATATGTTTGTTACGTAATGTGCAGTTTTTTCTGCGGTTTCCGGTCTTGAGTTATCGATGTCGAAGGAGCACCACCAATGTAAGCTTCTTTCTTTACATAATAATACATATATTACTTTCTTATTATCGAAATAAATTTTCGAGGATTTCTAATTGGGGACTTCTTTCTTTAATTTTCCTCTTCTTAGACTATAGATTATGTTACCTATGGTAATAAAATTAAATATAACCAATAGAAAAATTATTCCGAACCTTCAAGTTGACATGATGATATGAAGATGGATAGTACAATGTGTATTAAATGCATTAATTGTGACATCAATCACATTTTACCTTATTAACCATGATTAATCCATATTTGAACTTAGTAATAGGGGTATAATAGGCATTACAATAAAATTAAGAAAAATAAAAATTCGTACTTTTATAGGTAGGAGGGTATATAGGAGATTAGACTAAGCTTTAATATTTCCGAACATGCTTCTAGAAGGTGTAGAATGTTCTTTGATTATTTTGTGTTAAGAATTATTTTGATTATTTTGTGTTTATATTTCCGAACGAGCAAACTAGACTATTTCGCGTTTAAGAATTTCGACCTAATTATTCCTTTGATTATTGAAAAAAAAACCTTTACTTACGGATAAGTTGTATCTATTTACATTAGGACTCGTTTTATGAATGTGCAGATGCAATGGTCCCGATAACATGCTTTATATTAGTGTGCCTATTTGCCTTGCAACACTACGGGACCCACCGAGTGGGTTTCTTCTTTGCGCCGATAGTGTTGGTTTGGTTGTTATGCATAAGCGCACTCGGCTTGTACAATATATTCTATTGGAATCCGCACGTTTATCAAGCTCTTTCCCCAACTTACATGATCAAGTTTCTCAAGAAAACCGGAAAAGGCGGATGGATGTCTCTTGGTGGTATTCTTTTGTGCATCACAGGTATATTTGTTTGGGTTAATTGCATTCAGCACCCCCTATGTTTATTCTAATTGTTAAAAAAACCCCATAATGCAACTTTTTTTTTGCAAACCACCCTTAAAATTTAAAAATGAGTGCAAATTTAGACCGGATGGCCTGTTTTAATAGGAACATCGGATGGCATAGGATGACTGACACGTGGATAGTTTAAATAGAAATATAATCAGGATTTTAATAATTGGAAAAGAAAAAAAAACCAGCATAACCCGTAACCCCTCTATCCCTAATTACAATTATAATTAGCGTGATTTATTAAGAGTTAAGACTTAAGAGACATGTCAAAAAATTAGTGGAATCCGATTTATGTTAAATATCGGCTGATCCGCTCAGAATTTAATATCTTTAAAAATATCACCATTTAAGGAAATGTGTGCTGAAAAAATGTGTTATAGAGAGATTTTTGCTAATATTAATATCACGGGGACTTTGTTATATAACACCCGGGTACTTAATGAAATAAACTCCAAATTCTTTCATAGCTAAGATCGATATACATATATATGTAATAAATTATACATGTATCTAGAAATTTTCATTTGCTTCTTGCATTAGAAATACATACATTGAATTCACTCGATTTTTGTGTTGCAGGATCTGAAGCAATGTTTGCTGATCTCGGCCATTTTTCGTATGCAGCAATCCAGGTAAAAGACCTCTTTTCGAATAAAACGGTCAAATCCAAAATGCAAACGTGTATCTATAATATATATTTGTGTTCGGAATATTTTTTTCGTAATGGACTTTCATTTTATTTTAATTGTGGTGCAGATTGCTTTCACCTTTTTGGTATATCCAGCCCTAACTTTGGCATACATGGGTCAAGCGGCTTACTTATCGAAGCACCATCATACAATTCACAGTATCGGCTTTTACGTATCGGTTCCAGGTACGAGAGAGTACTACTATACATACAGTAAATTATGTGTAGATACATAGTAATATTTTTGAATTCTTATTTTGTTATTATTTACGTTCCGTAAACAGAGAGCGTAAGGTGGCCGGTACTAACGGTAGCGATACTAGCGTCGGTCGTGGGCAGTCAAGCAATCATTAGCGGAACATTCTCGATAATCAACCAGAGCCAATCGCTCGGTTGTTTTCCGAGGGTCAAAGTCGTTCACACCTCCGAAAAAATACACGGTCAGATTTACATACCCGAGATCAATTGGATGCTCATGATCCTCTGCATCGCTGTCACTATCGGATTCCGTGACATCAAACACATGGGCAACGCATCCGGTACATTTTAACACTACCCCACGAAAAAAATAAAGTTTCCAATAATCGAAAAATTATTTCAATTTTTCTTTTTTTTTTTGTAGGATTGGCCGTAATGGCGGTGATGCTCGTGACGACTTGCTTGACATCACTAGTAATCATCCTGTGTTGGCACAAACCTCCACTCGTCGCGTTGGCCTTTCTCCTCTTCTTCGGATCCATTGAATTGTTGTACTTTTCCGCCTCACTAATTAAGTTTCTAGAAGGCGCGTGGCTACCGATACTACTAGCCCTCTTCCTCGTCACCGTCATGTTCGTTTGGCACTACGCTACGGTGAAAAAGTACGAATACGACCTCCACAACAAGGTGTCTTTAGAATGGCTATTAGCCCTAGGCCCTAGCTTAGGCATAGCTAGGGTTCCGGGAATCGGCCTCGTTTTCACCGATCTCACCTCGGGCATTCCCGCCAATTTCTCCCGCTTCGTCACCAATCTACCCGCCTTCCATAGAATACTCGTATTCGTCTGTATAAAATCGGTCCCCGTTCCGTTCGTGCCGTCGGCCGAGCGGTACCTGGTGGGCCGCGTGGGCCCCGCGGCCCACCGCTCGTACCGGTGCATCGTCCGGTACGGGTACCGCGACGTCCACCAGGACGTCGACTCCTTCGAGTCCGAGCTCGTCTCCCGCCTCACCGACTTCATCCGCTACGACTGGCACAAGGAGGCGCGCGGCGGCAGCGGGGCCCACGACCAGGACGGTGTGTCCCACTCCGGTGCCTCATCGTCGTCGGGCGAGTGCCGATTGGCCGTGATAGGGACCGTGTCGTTCTCCGGCGCGCCGGCGTTCGAGATAGAGGACAGCGTGGGGCCCGCGAGCGTCTCCGTCGATTTTCCGACGGTGGACAGCATGGCTGACGTGATCGAGGTGGTGGGCCCCACGGAGAGGAGGGTGAGGTTCGAGGTGGGGCCCACGGAGATGGGGTCGTCGGCGGCGGAGATGGAATTCATGTTGAGGGAGGAGCTGCAGGATCTGCACGAGGCGCAACAGGCAGGGACCGCGTTCATAATGGGGCACTCGCACGTGCGGGCGAAGCAAGGCTCGTCGGTGATGAAGAGGCTGGCGATCAATTTGGGGTATAACTTCCTTGGGAGGAATTGTAGGGGAGCTGACGTGTCACTCAAGGTTCCTCCGGCCTCTCTTCTTGAAGTTGGCATGGTTTATATTGTGTAAGAAATATTAAATATGAATATGAGTTATGACCACTAACTGTTTATTATTTATTAGTACAGTTGTTGTTGTATGTAAAAGTGGAAATGTGAATGTGTGGGGAAAGCTGATTTTTCCAAATTTTACTGAGGAATTTTGTTGCTTCATCCTGTCATGTCTTGTAAATCTGAAATACTCTGTTTTTGTGCAATTAATTTTGTCTTCTGACTTTTGTTCTAATTTTTTAAAATGTTTATTGATCTAATTCTTTTTACATCGTAATAATTTTAAGGATTAATATGCTAGGGGTTTCTCAAACAAAATATAATTTGAGGTGAGATACAACCTCAACTATTTTTTAAAATAAATTCATATTTTAAAACATAACAATATCGTTCACATCCCTATTCTGTAATTCTAATCTGTCATTATACCCTAAATATATCTTCTATCTTCACGTTTTTTCCTCATATTTGTTTATCTTCTTTGTTCTCTCTCTCGGACCGCTCCACACTTATTCTTTCTTTCCTGAGGGCCCTGCTACATCGAGTTAGAGAAGTGATGGCCAACGACAGTCGATGTTAAAGCAACGCTAGTGGTGGTCCGGATATGGTGGGAGTGGCTATGGTGATGGCTGCAGTGGTTGATGTTAAGTGTATATTTTTACACTTAATCATATCTTTTAATTGGAGCTTTTGGTGTATTTTATTGATAATTGGTGCTTAAAGAGTTGATTTATTGTGTTTAAGGTACAAATTGAAGAATTGGATAAATAGAGGGTCAAAACTGTAATTTAGGAGAAATATGGCGAAAAGTGAAGAAGTCAAAAAATTGAAGAATAAGAGCCCAGACGCCCGTCCGAATATTTTTAAAGGAAGAATTAAGACGGCCGTCTGGAATTTGAACTGTCCGAGATGGCGTATAGGCACAATAAATGAATTCTAATTGCACAAGGAAACTGTTTTTTTCTCCAAATTTTCCATCCTATATAAGACCAATTCAAACACACAATTGGGGGATCAATCTTTTTACGCAATTTCAAGAGCAAAGAAGCAATAACGAAGACGACTCCAAGCATAGATTTATCGTCTATGATTTATTTTACTTGCGTTTTTACTTTAATCATGAGTAGCTAAATCTTTTATTTATAGGATTTTATTTCGAACCCTATGTGGGATTTATGAACCCAATGCTATGATTTTATGCAAATTTTAATTCCAAATTATTTCTTCTACTTGTTTTATTAAGTTCATGAAAATGACCACTTTATGTGCTTTTATGTTATTGTTAATCGCAAGAATCGGAAGATCGGGTTAATAAGTAGAACTGTGGTAGAAGAGCCTTTGTGGTATTAAGATAAGAATATAGTTAATCTCTTAGGTACCCATTATTGAGATTTGTGGTTAATGTTGTGTTCTAGAATTAATTGCGCCGGAATATAGTAACTGAATCTAGAATATTAGAATCGTAATACACGCGGAAGCGGGTTATGATTAATTTAACATCTCAGGTTAATAATCTGAATTAATTGCTTGGGCAATGTTTGAAAGCGCTTTAGAACTTATTTTGATTTCATTTTGAGGAAATATGTTTTGGGTGAAGAATTTGAGAATGAAAGTAATGTTTGTTTATATTTTGGAAGGAGACAAAATATAGGGGCAATTTTTTTTTTGGGGTTGTTTTGTTTTGGAGTTTTTAAAATGGGGTTATTTTTGAAGTAGTAATTAAATTGGTGTTGGCCGCCACTGGGAACGGCGGCATCGGACGGAGACGCCACCGCCGGTGGCGGCACCGGGAGGAGACGCCGCCACCAGTGGCGTCTTCTACTTTTTAAATTATTATTTTAATATTTTAATATTTTAATATTTTAATATTTTAATATTTTTTAATATTTTATTATTTTAATATATTAATATTTTCTTATTTTTTAATATTTTTATTATTTTTTAATATTTTAATATTTTCTGATTTTTAATTTTTTTTTACAAATAAAACAATTCTAACTACATTTTATTAAATTTATTACATTTTATCAATTATATTTATTACATTTTATCAATTAGTGTTAAA